TATAAACATAAACGAGATAGCAGAAATAAATAAATTTTATTAAGTAAGAAAAATATCAATAAAAGTATCCACCTAAATATGCATTACCATATCTTTTATGGCTTACTCACAAGCCCCACTGTAAAAATATGTTAGTTAAAAATTTTAGATTATAAAACTTTAATAAATGGATCAGCAATCATTAATGTGGTACTAAGGTTCTCAATTGATATTTGTCGTTTCTAAATTTTTTCTCTAACCACAAAATGTTTTATCTTAATTTGCTTGAAACCAATAGAGTACTTATTATTCTTAGAGTATTTTGATTGCTACTAGTCAAATAAAACTTAAGGAATCATATGCAAAATTTTATCAATATGTCACATGAGAAAACTATAAAAGAAGACCATAATTTATATATTTTTTAATTTCGTATAGAACCTTGAATTAGACCAATTAACCTTATTTGGTTAGGCAAGCCCAGAATTAGGCTAAATATCAACCCAATTAAGTAAGTCACAAATTAAAATTGATCAAAGTTAAAAATTAATCAAAATTTTAACTTTCCCTGTATTCGATCAAAATTTGATTGATCAAATCTAAATCCAATCAAGTAGTCAAAATCCAATAAAAATATTTAATTAAGAATATATCATACTGGTTAATTTTTTAATTGAGGACATAAGTCAGAAATTCTTAATTTCTTAAGGGTCAAACTATAATTTTAATAGGATATATAGTAGAATTATAGAGTTGCTAAAGGACAAAACTATCAAAAAGATATAAATTAGAATTAATAAGATTTATAAGGGTAAAATCATAATTTTAAAATCAAAACTCTAATTCTTTTACTGTTGTTGCCGCTATGCGAGGCATGCGGCCACCGCGGTGTGCAGTCGTCGCTAGTGCGCCGCCTATTGCGTAGCGCCTACTACAGTGGTAGTAGTACTACCGCCGGTGGGGTTTTGTGTCGCTGTGCCCATGTGTGGCTGTGTGCACACACCACCGGGTGACCCCCATGGTCGTCGTGATGCGACTATGCACACACGCCGCCCGACGACCCTACCGTCACTGTGGCACGGTCGTGCACACGCTTACGCCCACAACAGCCATTGGTGTTCAGCGTCTAATGGCAACGACCGCGACCAGAAGATGTCGCCACAGCGGCATTGCTGCAATCATCGCAGCCACCGCACACAACGATGTTGCGCAGCCACCGTAGCCATCGTAGGGTTGTTGCATCCCATGGTGCTTCAATTGCATACCTAGTCGCTGCTCGCGATTGGGCAGACAACCATCAAAAACTATCGCCCTCAACAATACTATCATCGACAACAAGTTGTCGATAGTGGTCTATTAATCAAATGCAAGAAACCTCCCATCGCCCATAAGCAAGTGACAGGATGGATTAAATAACAAGGCAGATCGACAATATACATGGATCATTCAAGCATAGTAAATCAAAATCAAATAACACCTTTTCGCAAGCGAAGGATGCTCATAAACAGATATGAGGTATTTGATTTTAAAAAACCTGGCTCTGATACCAATTGTAAACATAGAAAACCATAATAAGCTACTGTTATGTGAAAATCTTTAATGCCAACATTAAAATCAAATAACAATATATTAGAGTTATTATGCGTAACTTTCGATACCATTCAAAAAAACCTTTATCAAATATGTAGGGGCATCGTCTTGGGATTCAAAAACCACAGTGATGTCGATGTGCAAGGAGAACCAGACCGACCATCTCTTCTCTTCCTATATTTCACAAGACCACTATGATCGATAGATTAAGGATAATAAAAGATATGTAATCTCTTAATAATAGGCTCACGCGACTAAAGGGAGATGAGAGAAGATATGTAATCTTTCAATAATGTCATGTGTCCTTAGAAAATCCTTTTTTTATTTATAGGCGAGAACAGAGGGTCAAGTATAAGTAAATAGGAGAGTCCCTCCCACCAAGATATTTCCTAAGGACTCCTATCATAATTGAACTTTCTTTCTATTAACTGATAACCTTCATCAGGATTCAATCAAATCTATAATATATTTTACCGAATTAGATAAGACCATATAATCTAACAGAGATAACTTACTTGCTCTATCCCTCCACTTCACAAGGCAATTAGATGAGCCATATATATATATATATATATATATATATATATATATATATATATATATATATATATATATATGCAAGCATCTTCAATTGTTTGCTCATGCATCATACAAGTATTTTAAAGATATTAATTAATGTAGGAAATGAAATATACATTTAAGCAAACAACGGGGAGAATTAATATCACTCATCATCCAAGACCACAAATTCAATAGCAGGGCATCTACGCTCCTAACCAAGTATACAGTTCCAGGCTCATGTTAATTCAGCATTTAACTCAGGTATTGCATATCCAACGGCGTGCATGGTATGTTCAATCGAAAAAATAAATTAATGAGCGTATGCCTCATCTGCTTCCTTCAATTCAAAACCAAAATATTGATAAAAGGAAATAAACTTGCAGTCCTCATTCGAGACTTGATAATTTCCGATAAATCATATCTTGTGTCAAAATATGGACCGCAGAATTTCAGGTGGTGTTCATAACGGTCCATAAAATTTCAATTACCCCTACCAGTTTTTAGGACCTCATGTGATAAAATGAGAAATAAAATGAGGATTAGGTCTAAAGTAAGAACGGCGATCGAGAGGCAGAATCCATACCTCATGGTCGCAATCGACAAGCTGCTGCTCGCTGAGGCTCTCCAACTTACCAGTCGTGAGAAAGTGCGCCCCTTCTAAAGCCCCGGCAGCGCTGAAGGACCAGCATGATCCGCAAGAACCCTAGCAGAAAAAAACATAACAGAGAAGAGTTGATTTATCAGATTAAATATTTCAACCAATACAAGGGGGGAAAATCAGAGACGACAAAGGACCTGATTTTTGACCGGGGTGACGGCACCATGATCCCTCCAGTCGAAGTTCTCAGGAAGGTCGTTGGTCGGAAGGATTGGCGCGTCGTGGGACGAAGACACGAAGGTCGGGCCGCGGAGGCCGAGGTAGGCGCGGCGGAACTCGGCGGGGGTAAGGTCGGAGAACTTGGTGACGCCGTGGACGGCGGTGGGATCGAGGAGCTGGTGCCTCCTAGCCCGGAGCAGGTTGGCCTTGAACACGGCGAACCGGCGGGCTCGCTCCTCAGTGTCGGCGTACGTCTTCCTGAACCGCTTGATGAATCTGGCGAAGTGGACCTCCGCGTCCAGCGCCGTCAGCTCCCCTTCCGCATCCTGCACCACCTGCCGTATCAACGGATCCTCAATGCCATCGGACGTCGAATAGGCCGCGGTAGAGGCGGCGATGGCCGGAAGGAGGAGGAGGAGAAGGGAGAGGAAGCGGTCATCCATCGATAGTGGGCTCTTCTATTTTCTTCTCAATACGGACGAACAGTATGATATTAATATGCTTTCGCCCGTGTGACGGAGTTGGCGGAGTGATGGCCATGCGGTGAGTGCAACGTGTAGCGCGAGGATTTCGCTCCCGGCGTGATCTGTGTTCACGTCCAACCATTAATTTTTTAGTAACGAATATTTTCTGTTTCTTTTGGGAGAAGAAGTTTTGGCTTTCTGGTACTCAAGTCGTCCGCTTTACTTAATTAGTTTCAGCGTCGAATGTGTTTCATTAAAAATGACATTTTTTATATATTTATTTGTCAAAGTCTACAAAATAAGGTGTTGGCAAATATTTCGATTTAATCATAAGAGCTTACTTTTAATAGTTGAGACTTTTAATAATACAGTTGATATCTTCAAAATTTATTATTCCATGTCAATGTCATATGTGTTTTAAAAACAATAACGACAAGAAAGTTGATTGTAATTATAATTTATTTTTTATTATTGAGATCGACGATAAATGACAAAATAATTCTTTATCTTAACCAAAATCGAACTATAATAGTTTCCTAACAATAAAGTTTAGGATCGACTTGGGGTAACAATCCCAACTTAAAAGGACTGCCCCAGTAATTTAATCTATTAATTAGGAAGGCATTTATATGGGCAGAATTCCTACAATTTATTATATAATTAATTTATTTATTTATTTACTTTTACGATGCAGTTTTAACTTAGTTCTAATTAATTAATTAATTTCTAATATTTGCTAGAGATCTACTTCCACTCTTCTGTTGAATGGTGCTGTCGTTTGGGATATTGATTCCTCTTATTCTTACATATTCTCAATTGTTGCATTTGATGTTCTCCTAATCTATTATTCCTCTGGAAATTAATTTGAGAGAAACTAGCTAGCGAAAGCTACTTCTTATTGCTTTAGAAAAAACAAGGAAAAGAAGTGATCACGCAGCACGTTGGTCAGATCGGTGAACGCTTTGAGCTTTAAAATCTAATCTTTCCTATAATAAGCCATTGTGGTTTATCTCCGTCGACTGGAGCTTTGACTTTTGGTTGTGGTCAACAAACACCTTTGCTTTTTTAAACCTAACTTCCCCTCGTATGACTCATGATTTTGATTTTTGTTTGTGAATAAATGGTTTCTTTCGATGGGTTGATCAAATTGTTTTTTAAAGTAACATTAATCTATTTTTAATAACTTATAATAATTACAAATTTTAAGATATTTATATATCTTTGTGTGAAAAACCAAACTAGTAGTAAATCATAAATATGGATAATGGTAATTAATCTGAATTTTCTGAATAGAAATTGACAAAAGCCAAAATGAGATATCTCAATGTTTATACTGATCTTGAATTATACGGCAAAGCACCGAGATGCCCTAATTTGATGGATCAGCATCGCACAATTAATGGGGCTTTTCGGATTGCTTCGGGCGGACCGCTCGCCGAGCCATCTCGTCCGTCCGTCCCTGTCACGGGCACCCAAACGTACGCCCCCTCGGCAGCGTCTTAGGAATCCGGGCTCAAGCTTCGGGTGCCTTCGCCGCCACGTGCCTCTCCCTCTCTCTCTCTTCTTCCCCTAATAATAATGATAATAATAATAACCATTTACTAATTCATACACCATAAAAAGATCCGTCGCTGCATTCGCCCTCATCTTCTTCCATCCTTATATTATTATTCATCCTCTCTTTCTTTGGGTAACGGTAATGGTAATCTCTCGCCATCTGAGAATAATATAATATGTCCCTTTTTCTGCTTGCTTCGTGTATGCTCGCTTTTTCTTTTCTTTTTCGTTTTTATTTTAGGATGATTGGGGAGGAAGATAACATAAAAACGGTGCTTAATGCTTTTATTATTGTGTGCCATGTAATGAGTTCGTTTTCCCTCTCTTCTTTACTTAAACCTTTTTTGTTGGGGGGGCGAAGATTGATGTGTGAAAAACAAAAAATAATCCCAAATGAAGCAAATCGTGCTTCATCTGCTTCACTCCGTCTTCCTTCTTTTCTGTTGTGATCGGTTTAGGTTTACCGATTTGATGTTTGCTCGGAGGGTTTGATCTGAGAATGCAGAAATGGATTTATTCCCTGGGTGCAGATACTGATGTGCGATGGAGATGAATGATGGAGTTGCCGAGAGGGATTCGGAGAAGAGGAAGGAGGTGATGAGGTCTGATTCCAAGGAGGGTTTGGAGCCTGGTGCGAACTACCGTGCGTACCCTAAGCCTCTGGCCAAGTACGAGGATGTCGTCGCTGATCCGGAGTTGTTCAAGGATACTCTTATGAAGCTGCATGCTGAAATGGGAACAAAGTTCATGTGAGTCTCGCTTTGTCTGCTTCTCAACCCTGTTTTTGCTCTCATGCTACTTTGCTCTGCTTCAATTTCGAGGCCTAGAATATAGACTAAGTGCTAGGTCTTGTTAACTTATTGATGGATGTCCGCATCTGCTCTTTAAGAAAATAATGCATAGTCTATTTATGAATCTCAAAATTTATTGTCATTTGATCCCTTCAACATTGCGTTCTTGGACCTCCCTATGCTGTTGTTTAGACTCTTTAGATCAGTATACACTGAGAGATACGGGCCTCTTTCTGCACTTGCACGTGTTGGTTCCGTTTCTATATTGTAAGTGTGTCAGCTTCGTCAGATATGTCGGCTGTAAGTCCGGGGCTTCTTTGCCTAGTGATGGTCACTTAAAATTTATGCCCGCATATGATAAACAGACATAACTATTCCTTTAGAAGATCAAACTTGTGGGCAACCTTGACTATCTTGCTCAGTATTCAGTGTCGTCAGAACCTTTCATTGGAAGGATTATGCTGGATGCTGGTTTGGTACAACTAAGCACAAGTTTAATGCTGTTAATTTTTTCCTTTTGTATGACTTGGGAGTTGAATATCCTAGCTCAAACTTCCAATCAACTGCTCCCACCAAAATTATATCGCCACTAGAAATGGACTTCAAATGTCAGCCATATGTGGTAGGACCCAAACATTTTAAACTATAGTATCTGATTGCTTATGTTTACATCTCTTATATGTGCTCAATTTTACAAACATGGGCAGTTAAGTTTTCTGGGTAGAGTCAATTTGGTTTTCTAGATAAAGTTCTCTGAATAAGTCAAGCTGTTCGTTTCAGCTATCCACATCTCTGTCCTTGTTCACTGCAGCAATTTGGTTCCTCCGAGTCAGTAGTCATGGGCAAACAATAAACAATCTCTTTATGACTTATTTGTGGTGATATATATTGAACAATTTCTGCAATTGATACAACAGTTGCTATCTAATGATGTAAGGTTTTTAAATCTATATGCTAAACTCATTCTGTATGCTTTTTTACCCTCATGCATCTAATGACCCCTTTCCAATTTGTTGGGAAGGTTTATTGACCCAAAACCCACTGGTGCTTACAAGAAAAAAATTAAGAATTTTATAAAACATGTTAGAAGTCATTAAAGTCATTGGCACTAGTTTTTCAGGGATTCACATGCACAATAATTTATATTCTTAAGTAGTTGGATGAGCCTAAATCTGTCAGTTTGGTATGCCAATTCAGAGAACTCCATGGTTCAACTTGTCATTACAACTTGTGCCTTGCAACTTAGTTTTTCCTACATGTCATTTTTCTTTGTGATGTCATCCTAGATATCCAAGGATTCTCATTGACACTAATAATGGCAGTCAAACTGAATGTTAGGCATATAATTCCATCTGAGAAGGATACACGAGATATGGGGTTGAGGCCCTTGATAGGTTGTCTAACAATTGTACTGTCCTGAAGTTGAGCCGGAGTTGGTATACACAGTGCTCTAACTGGTCTAACCCTACTCACAAGGTTTACTTGATAAGATTCTGATTAACTTTGTCATTTGGGATTGCTGCAGCAACATGCTTATTTTTTGTTACTCTTTATCCCATCAACTCAGGATGTAGGTGCTAGTTGCACTCATGATGTGTGGAATGCTTCGGTGAAAAATTTTACTTTCTCCATATTCTGCATATTTACATGTTTCTCTTGTGTAGCCACATGTTATGGTCTTAGTTCTGTTAGCAATCGATAGTGTTGGAGAACTCAACGTGAATTATTGATGTGATGCTATATAAATCTAGATAAAATGTTTAAAAATATATATATAAACTTGATCTTACTAAAGAGTCTATAATCATGCATCCAAACGAACAAGGTCCATAATTTGCATCTTTGGGAGGTGCGATGCTACAGTCTAATGGTATTTAGATAAGCTGCTCTATTAATTACACTTGCATGTCAAGCTTAACCTCCTAACATTTTCCAAAAGAAGGATTTTAGTTGGGTGATATAATGCTCTTGATGTACCAATCTATCTTTAACATTATGATTGATGTTGTTTCTTTCTTCCAAGGGTCCCAATCATAGGAGGAAAGGGTCTTGATCTTCATCGACTTTTTGTTGAAGTAACTTCTCGAGGTGGTATTGAAAAGGTGAGGATCTAGCTCAGTAATTTGTTTATTTGTATTTTTGTATTTTTGCATTTCCATACAAGTTTAGTTGCTTGTTATTTTGATCATAACATGTCTTGATATGTTCTGAATGTTTTTATCTGTTAAAAATTTTAATACAAGAAGACTTTTATTTCAGTGTTTGAGTATTAATTTATTATTTATGGATAATATTTGCAAGCCAAATAATATAGAGTTTAAAGTGCTAAACAAGTCAACAAAATTGATAACAGGGCCTGGAGCATATATTGTATTGATTATGCTTTTTCCATGTTAGACCAGGATATTTTTTCTATTCACTTCCAATTTCTATGAAATTGTTGGTTGGGGTGGTTCGTCTTTTCCTATTTCTATTTCTTGCAATTATCGATGCAGTAAGAATTTGGTCTTAGGCATATGAAGTTTGTGCAGTAAGATTGCTCCTTTATAAAATTGGTGTGAAGGGTTGAAGTTGTGAGCCTTGTGTGCAAGGGCAAGACTTTGTATAATTACCTCAAACCCTGCTTAGCAAGATTTTGGTCTTAGTCTAAAAATAAGAGATGCAATTTTATAGAACATAAGACAAAAGATATCATTGAAAGGGTTCGATGCTAGATGTCCTCAGCTTTTATCTTGAAAATCAGAGAATAGAAACTGGAAGTGTTGTTAAACATGCCTAACTCAAATTCTTAGGATTGTTACATTAAGTTATAGACTTAACCCAGCTAGTGGTTTGCCATGGTTTGGTGAGCCCAATTTGTCTCTGTACTATAATCAATATAAGCTCTTTATATTATTTACCAACTAGAGATTTATGAATGACATACTATCAAAAATAGAATTATGAAAAATAAGAAAGATTGGGTATTTTAAAGCCTCTGCACAAATTCTATTTGAGGGTGCTGACAGTACCAAAGTTCGTACTTGAGGGGTTTTTAATGTTTCAAGAATGTAACATTTTGTAGTGTGCAATGTCATGCTGATGCCAATACATGTTAGTTTACATGGAGGCCCAACATGATGTGTTGTTGCATTTTATGTATTCAAAAGTCTACACTGTTGTGCATTGGCATCCCTCAATAGCAACATTGAAATGGTAGTCATTCTGCCAATACTATCAGGAAAGATGACTTTATGTGAAATGGATCCATGGGAATAGTCAGTCGTAGAATATGGATAAAGATGCATGAATCTTTCATCAATGGCAAATCGATATCCATTAGCTAGAACACTAATATGAACCAATTACATAGAGTGGAAACTTATATATCAAAACTGAAAGAAACATTCTTTTATATTGCAATAACCAAAGAATTAAAATTTTAGATATTTACCATATTCTAGACTCTCGAAAGGTAATATACAAAACTGACGTACTACATTATGCAAGTGATGTGGTACCATTTTGATATTCTATTTTATTGAATAAAATGGGACGACAAAAATTGTAAGCTTTATCGAAGATTCCAAATGAAAAGGGAGATAAATTTTGGGCTTGATTGGAGTCTCAAATTATTTATTCAAGATTCTACACATGAAAAAGATTTTATCGTAAGGAAACTTTAAGAGAACTTGTCAATCAAATATCTTAGCAATAAGTTATTTGTCAATAATTATCAAAATATGTCTTATCAAAAGACAGAAGAAATGATTGATATGTGTTGATACAAGAGATAAAAATTTTTATTGTATTTTCTATATTTCTGTAGTCTTTCTTTTCTTCTTGTACCATGTTTGATAGAAAGAGGGAATGGGATTGTGAATAAGAACATCAAAGAATGATTGAGAAAATAAAAAGTGTTTTTTATGTGTGAATGATTTGTTTCTCGATGATATGGTTCCATTCTTTATAGGTGAGACATGCATCCTGGGAGTTAATCACAGAGTTAGATTGAGTATAATATCTTAATTGTTTTCTCTTATATCTTAATTATTACATAACTGTCAAAACCTAAGAAAAATTTTTCTTTGCCAGTTTATGCTTTCGTCCTGCATTAGATTGGTACAAGAGCACTTCTCCTGCATCATTTGAATATTGTGGGGGATGAAAATTTTGAACAACTAAACATAATAGAGATACTTATTGTTACATTTATGACATCAGACATTATCCGACTGTCCTCTCATAATCTTCTCTTACAAGATCCTGAATACATACGCTCTGTTTGTGGCTTTCTTAGCCCATTATGGTAATGGCAGACAGGTGGTGGTAGATTGGGTAAGAAAAAACTTGGCTGAAAGGCAACTTGGAATTTTTAACATTAATTTACTTAATTAACTCCTATAAATAGCAATAGTCCCATCTAAGTTCGTCGATCAAGCTTTTACCAAAGCCTTTAGTAAAACATTTTTATGCAGTGAAAATTATTGTACAAAAGTTGCTAAGTAAAGATTTTGCAAGACAGCCTTTAGCCTTCACGATCAGGCTTAAATGATGTCAGTCTTTTCATTAGTCATTTTCTGCTTTATTTCTCTTCTGTCAGTTGCAATATGCAGAATCAATAGAGCTGTATCTTTCTCTTTCTGTGTCTTAGCCACAAACATAACTCCACTTTTATTGGCATAAAAACAATATATGAGACTCTTGATGAAAGTGGTAAACCTTTAACCTTCGATCTAGTTTGGAAGAATATTTTTGAATAGAACCTGGCAAAATTTTGCGACTAGGGTCGTATGTGGACCAAGGCATGACTAGGGTTGTACTTGGACCAAGTCTGGCTCTACTTTTGGTTGACTGTAATCTGGCCCTGTTCAACCTAAACATCCCTAGTTTTTAGTTGGTTTAATTGACTGAGCTGAATGCATGTGAATGTTTCATTTAGCCAATCTCAAGTGGTTGGGGCTTAAAGATTCTTTCGGTGTTGTAATGAGCTGGTGTATTATGCTGAAGTATTTTAGGAACTTCAGATTACCTTCTACCTAACTTGAAGATACCCAATTGTAAATATTAACTTTGGAGACATCCGAAATATCTGCTTTACAATTAGAAGTGCTATCTATTGTTTTATTTAATGACGATTGTGCTACCAACAGGTCCAAAATTCCCTGATGGTCCAGGGGAAAAAGATTTGCATAACGCAAGATATCATTATTTTATAAAGTTTAAATTTATGGGATACTACAATGTAAAGCCAAAGGATTTGACCTTCAAGTACAATTTTCACATTGTGCAAAAAAAAAAAAAAAGTTGGAAGATTTTCTTCCCATGTGGAAGGGAAACATCTGAATATGAGTATCATTTCCCTCCAACTTAAACTTAATAAGTTAGTCCAAGAATTTTTTATATAATTATAATGATTTAAATTGAGACTTTATATGCACATAAGAAATTTTTTAATAGGAATAAGTACATTACTTAAATGCAGGTAATTGCAGAGAGAAGATGGAGAGAAGTAACTGCTGCTTTTAGTTTTCCTTCTACCGCAACAAATGCATCTTTTGTTCTTCGCAAGTACTACTTGTCCTTGTTACAGCATTATGAGCAGATCTATTTGTTTGGTTCACAAGGATGGAACCTTCCCAATGGTTTGTACATGTCAAATTGTCAGCTACTTCTAACTTTTCTCTGCTCTTCTCTTTACTTCATCAAGCTGTACATTTAAATTACAGTTCCTTCGAACACTTCTTTAACTACTTCAGTTTCATCCCAAAAATTGGTCGAACCTGTGAAATCACATCCTGAGGCTCAGGCTGCTCTTCACAAACGAAGAAGAAACAGTGGTGAGTTTGTTTAAAGCCATTTACTAATCTGTAATATCAGTAGTCAGGTAACAGTAACATGTCTCATTAATGATTGTTTGAGATATTGAGATGATTGTTACTGTTTTTTTGAGATATGACTGTCAAGCATTTTCACATGTCATGAAGCTTGAGATCGAAGGAACAAAAAAAGGTGATAGTTTGACATAGGTTTTTTTTTCCTTTTTGTAGTTCTGCATCATGCTTTGCTAATATCCTGCAGAAAAGAAAGAAAAAGAAAAAGAAAACAAGAGGCATCTTTTATTAATAATTGATCAATCACCATCTTTTGGCAACCTTTTTGCAGACATTTACATTTCTGCAAAGATTACTAATCTGATTCTTTCACAACTGTAGGTTCTTCTCCAACATATCCTCCTGTTGTAGGAGTAATTGATGGAAAATTCGAGCATGGCTATTTTGTGACAGTTACTGTTGGCTCAGAGAAACTTAAAGGTGTCCTTTATCATATTTCTGACCAAGCTCCATGGCCTTTGGTGTGTGCTGATGAGAGTAATTTGAGGAGCCCCCGCCAGCGGAGGTGTCGGAAGAAGCTCAGCATGCTAGACCCCAATCATCCAAAACCCAATAGGAGTGGCTACAATTTCTTTTTCGCTGAGCAGCATGCCAGGCTTAAGCCACTTCATCCTGGGAGAGACAGAGAAATCAGTAGAATCATTGGTGTCCGGTGGAATGGGCTAACTGAAACTGAAAAAGCTGTAAGACCCTGAGAACATATACTCGGATTTCCTTTTTTAGTACTAAAAGCAGGTTCTCGATGCTGGTCCAATGTGATAAGTTACTCATTATCGACGACCTTGTTAAAATCTCAGGTGTATCAGGAGAGAGGTTTGAAGGACAAAGAGAGGTACAAAAATGAAATGGCAGTCTACAATGAGAGAGTAAAAGCAGGTCAACATACTAATCTGTCGCCGATCCAGCAGCTTCCCGTTCAACCCATGATGGCAGGACAAACCGACACAAAATCTGAGAAGGTTGATAACGATGTGAATGTAACAGATGAGGATTGTTTCAGTTCTGACGACAGTGATTCTGATGGTGAAAGTTCACACGACGACTCAGAAATGGGGAGGTCTCTTGATAGAAGTGCTATTGAATCCACTTGCTTGGCGGAGACTTTAAAAGAGGAAGATCGGTTTGAGTTACGGAGAAGAGAGGATGAGAAATTGGGGAACGGTGCATGATTTAAGCATGAGACTTGACATAGCAGCTAATTTTTAGCAGGCAATGAGATCACTGGAATAGATTGGTTTTGTTTTTTTTTTTCTTCCATCTTCCATCAGTGCATGCAAGAAAAACAGAAAACCGGAGTCGTCAACTCTGGACAGGTGGGTTTTGTATGATCTGCATCACATGTCACTGTAAACTTGACTTGATTCCGTCAGTTTGTCTACGGGCATGTTGTTTAGCTTAATGTTTATATGTTTGTTATTGCTTAAATCGTTATCTACCATCTTCTCTCTACTTGCTGCTCTTCTTCTAGCACAACATTCTCCACAGCCTCGTCTCGGACGTGGCGGCCATCTGTCGTCATCGACTTCCTTGACCACTCGATTCTAAGTTAATACATCGAGCTTTAAGTTATATTGTAATCAGTAATCTCCGTTGCATGCCGAGTTGAATTATTTCGGTTCCAGTAGAAGGATGCTTAGTTTAGTCAACAACCATTACCAATTGGTTTGAATAGTCATAAGTATTTTTTTTCAATATCTAAAATATAGATATTAGAAATGAAATCCACATTTTTAATATAGCATCAAATATCCAAAGAGCGTTGGAGATTTGAAACTGGCGGGCATTGTTTTATATTGGAGTTTAATATTAATTGAAGTTTTAGCATCATTACACGTTAGAAATGCCAACAGTTTATTGATGGGTATTATTATACTACCATATTTGTATATCTTTAGCTTTACAGGCAGGGATATATATGTACTGAATTTGGTTCTAAATGGTAACTATTAAATCCGTTAAATTTGAGATATTGATTGGTTACTTTCCTAAAAACTCTTGAAAGCCTTTTTCTTTTTGACAGAATTTCATATATATATATATATATATATATAATGGGTTTTACCTTATGTGAATATTGCAGCAGGCCTTTCCCTACTATTTGGTGTATTGGAAGAAGCATATACGAACAAGAATAGCAACATCTTTGCACGCGTATTCGAACGTCCGTATATCGATATTACTAATGAAAACATTACATGTATCGAGATCGATACACACGAGTACCTGCCCACGTACAGTTATACTCACCCGGACATCTATACGTACCAGTGTCTATGCGGATACGCAGTCGGGCAGAGGTCGGTCGACGTGGCACTTGGCGGGGAGCTGCTTGACCCGGTCGGAGTTGACCCAAAAGAGCCAGAGGGGGGGCGACTTGATGTAGGAGCAGAAGCAGCCGAAGTCGGCGGCGGCGACGGCGGCGCAGCACTCCGGCGATGGAGTCTTGTCCGGGAACCACTTGCTGACGGCCGACCTGCACGCTGACAGGCCTCCGGGCGACACGTTGCAGACGCCCCCCGAAGTTACCTTCACCTTCCGGCCGCTCGCGCTGGCCACCAGAAGCAGGAGCAGGAGAGCGAACGCCGCTTGACGGGACTCCATCGTTGATGCCTTGAGGCTCTCTGCGCTGCCTTGGTATACATAGAGAGCTCCATATCATGTATTGTTGGAGTTACACATGGAGGTCGAAGGAGATGGTTTGAAGTTGGGAAAGCTTAAATGCTGGTTTCCGTTTGCGAGGAGTACAGCAAAGTTACTATTTATTATTTCCACGACAGCGAAGTTTCTCAGTTCATTCAGTTCAAATAAATAATAAATACACAAGAATCTCATGTCAATCTTCTTGGAGAAGAAGACCTCAACATGCATGCGTTGATTGGTATTAATGAACTCTAAATTTGACATGGTAATCCTATCTATCTATCTATCTATCTTTGTTTGTTCACATAATTAATTTGCATTGCATCAGTTCTCTAACCGTGTTTATATTTATAAATAGTATGATCAATAGAAATTCTCTGGACGCATGTTAAGGAGAAAAAAACAATGTATTAAAATATGTCAAGGGTGAAGCTTTGCAAGGATAACTATGTAAAGAGCCCCCATGAAATCTTTCTAATATTTTAAAAGGCTAACAACAACACTCATCACATATTTCTTTTTTCTTGGATTGTTTGGTAACATTTGTTGTCGTCTCTACCTAAAGATCAAAAGTTGACAGGTGTAGGAAGTGAATAAAATAAACACATTATATAATATTTTAACGATGTGGTCGTGGGTTCGATTAATAGTTTTTGTTCAAGTTGGTGATCCATGTATATGGAAAGAACACATAGGAACAGGAAAAAGAAACACTATTTACAGGATGTGCCGTCTTCCTTATTTCTTGATCACAACAAACACCTAATGTGTGCTGGTATTGCAGCGGCCTTCCTCCGTGCCCTGCACGTCCCATTCTGAGCCAGTCGAGAGATGCTACCGCTTGACCTCTCTCTCTTTTCGGTGCAAGCAAACACACTGCATGCAGGAACAGAACCAAAGGTGGAAACTTTTTTTTGAGTCTCGACATCCAAGTTTTTCTTATAAAGGTGGTGTCTTTTTCTGCCATCTATTTTCTTTCTCTTCAATCGCAGAAATCAACTACAGCACCGCCGAACAATCAAATCGACAGAAGATTGTCGATAAAAAGCCGCCTCCTCGAACGTCGCGACCCTGCCGTCCTCCTCCACGACGATCGCCCTCCTCAACTCCCCGGACTTCGCCGTCGGCGCCAAAGGAAGAAGACGCAATCGAAGGATTAGGTGCTACGTCCTCTCCAAATGATTGAGATGACGTCCAACCGTGGGGCACCTACAGCTTATGACCACACGTCGTCGTGTCCCAAAACTTACAACACTTGGCACTTGGCCAAGTCACTGTGGAGCACCCAAGACATTTGGAGGTGTTCGATAATGTTGTCTCCTGATGGTGATGCCATGAGTGTTTGCTCGTGTGACACGCACAGCCGGGCTTCTCGGGCCATATGGCCAGCTTCCCATCGCCCATCTTTCTCTCCTCTACCATTGAATTGGATTCGCAGTACCCTACTTAATCACCTTCTTTCTAAAATATCAATCAAGTCTTCAAGTTATTCACCAAAATATGCTGTGATTTGTTTGTTTCCTCTTGCTCAAACTAGAGCCATTTGGGACGCCAATTAGAGAAAGTAATAAAAGCACCCCAAGATATTCACCACATTAAAATTTTAAAGTATATAATACTTTTTTTTCCAGATTAGTTGTGCTACCGGTAACAGTATGATGCCATGATTTTTTATTCCATAAAGGTTTTTTATTTGAAAATAAAAAAAAAGTTATAATGATACTAAAAATAATAATGAATTTCATCATTTTTATGGTTATTTCATAAACGATGAGTTCCTCTGTGTAAAGTTCATTATAAAGTAATAACTCTTTTTGATAATAAGAGTTATATGTTGTACTGTAACAAACAGTACATAATTAGAAAAATTATTGTAATTTAAATTTATATATTTAATCGTGTTTGACATATTTATAATGGTATAATAGGGTTAACTATAGATTAATTAATTTTTTAATATTATAATTTATGGATTTAATTATGATTATGTTATTTTTTAACCTATATTTGGTCAATTTTATATATTTAATAATTATTAGGGTATTTAACATGCTTATATTTATAAAAAAAGAGTCAATTAAAGACTTATTAGTGTTTTTAATATTTATGATTAGTATATTTAATGATAATCTCATCGTAATTTGATATATATTGGATCAATTTAGTGTATTTAATGTCTATTAGGTTGATTGATATATTTATAATAGCAAAGTATGATTCATTACATATATCACAGTCTTGTTATTTTAAATTAAGTCTAATAATAGCTTGTTAATTTGATAAATTTTTATAGTAACATGTACCAAAGGAATAAATATATGATGACGCTTGGGATCATGCTCATCATGTGAACGAAAGCTATCATCGTTAGTAATGCAAACATTATGACTACATTGATCGAGGTGGAAGAATCACTCGGTAGAAGTAATATTTGGTTAGCGACTATCCCTGTATTACAAAATGCAAAAAAGTTCTAACAGAGGTCTATCAATTATTTCAAAAAAAATTAAATTAAATAAGAAATTATGTAATTAAAAAGAAGTCCAAGAAAGTGGAAGAATACCACATGGCTACATAAGAACTACTATTCGACGGTAATATCGATCCGAATCTCAGAGTTAACATTTATGTATTATTAAAAAATTAATACATGTATGATAATACAATGAATCATCAATAACCTCACTCAATGGCAATGGCAATGGCAATGGCAACTAATTGTCCCTTCTTCTTAATTAAGTAGGATTGATAGAATGAGATAGAGTAGAATTAGTTTCTTATTATAAGACTTGATAGGAGGTCAGTACTAGATATTATTAAGATTGATCTATAAGTATATCATCTATAAATAGCAAAACAAACACAAATTAATGATGCATGTACAAAAGAAAAGAAGTGAGAATTTGGCAACATAATATCTAAGCGCTTTAACTTCTATAATTCCAGTGAGCACAATCCAATGTTCATTAGAGTGTAAGGTATCTTCAATCCAAAAGGCTAAAATGAGGATATAATCTTTAACACTGAAGGAGATCTATAACATATGAGGACGTGAATATTAGATCAAATCCTTCGAGAGATAGTGAGATAAATATAGAGTGATACTAATATGTGATAATTGGATATGACCTATAAGAATGAGCATCATTAACTTTTTTTATATATTAGAATACAAGAATCATTTTTCATAAGTTAGTTGATACTTCCAATCAAATTTAATATACAAACTATAGTGAAAACCTAATTGATACTATAGTAGAGGAGATTGGGCCACAATACATTGTCTAAATAGTCACCGATAATGGAGCTAATTTCAAGAATATTAGTTTATAATTAATTAAAAAAATTATTTTGGACTCCATGTATAGCCCACTTCATGAACCTAATGTTGAAGGACTTTGGTAAGTTATACTCAGTAAGCGAGTATGTGGTAAAGGCACCGTTAGTGACAAAGTTTACATATGATCATTATTGGGTCCATTCCTTGATACAAAAGTATATAAATGATGAAATACTCTGACATAGCATTACTCATTTTACTATAAAATTTATTACCTTAAAGTCAATCCATCAAAAGAAATAAGGCCTCAAGGTAATGATCATATCACAAGAATGATCGAGTTCAAGGTATTCAAAATCAAGTGATAAAAAAAATTATTCTTTTTTCTAGATCGTAGGAAATCGTGAATGAAATTATAACAAGAGTTGAACTACTTTATGTTATCCTCCATAAGATCGATACGAAGAAATATCCATAAATATTTTATTTTAGACATATACTACTTACAATAAAAGTTAAAATCAAAAAAGTTTTCACAAATAATTTTAAAGCCAATCAATACTTACATATCATCAACCATAAGACCAAGTTCATATGGACTAAGATAATCACAATACAAGGAACATGAAATCATTTACAAATTCTTACTAGCGAAATCATTTGTCTTATAATGTATTATCTATATTCGATAATTCAATTTCAATAGTCTTAGAAGATGATCAGATTTATTACCGATAATAAGAAAAATTATTTACTGACTCTTACTAAAAAAGTGTTAATACTATTATAGAGGGCCAATTATTATGAGTAATTATCAGTTCATTCTCCGACGTTGTAGCTATATCATGTCATTATAATATGGATCCTAGTAAGACAGTTGCACATATATTGATATTAATTATTGATTAAGCTAATAAAATCTTTGCATATCTTTTTGTAGTCAAGTGGTGGTTATAATCTAGAGGATCTGCATAAAATATAACTGGTCAATGTTTGTGTGCTTTCACAAACAACAACATCGAGTGGTCCCAAACGTAACTAGTTAACATTCGCATTAGTTCACACAAAGATCTATAATAAACTATCATATACATAGTTAAAGAAATTAGTATATATCTACTTTAATATATGGTTAAGGTTTCGATGTGTCAAGCTAGATAAGAAATTAGATAAATCAGAGATTGATCATATTGACCTCGAATACTATAACGAAGATTCACAACCAATGATGGAATAAGCCAAAGCAGTAAAGAATCAAAAGGATTCTTTACTTGATAAGGTGAGAGATCCTTCACAACGTTTACATTTTATCACTGAGTTAATAGAAGAAGAGGAACAACATCCCAAGTAAAAGGAAGATTCCTCTCTGTCAGAACATATCAGAAGGTGTCGGACAATATCGTCAGACAATGTGCAAAGGCAAAGATACCTAAGCATACCTAAGTATTACAATCATTTGCCCAGTGTGCAAAGGCAAAAGGAAAAATAGTAGCATTAGTTTTACCATTATAACGTAAACAAAAAGTAGGACTCTGTCATATTCCCAACCATCATATTATAGATGATCTTATGACCAATAGTAGTATGGTGATAATTGATTATTCTTCTTCAAACAGTAGTATAGCAATTGATCTTATAATATAGAGTAATAAGTCAATAGTGAAAGTCAAAATTCTAATATTCTCTAACCTCCACACTAATATAAACTACAATTATACTAATTTTAGAAATCATCTTAGACAGTGTGGTTTATGACAATCAAATTATGACTATCACC